CACACACACACACACACGTGCGCGCACGGATATAAATACGCACCCAGTCCTGTCTCCTTCTCCCAATATATTATGTTTTTGTTTACACAACACGCACATAATACATATGTATTTATCATACCCTTCATTTTCCTGTCAGGCGATTTCGCCCTGCTGTGTTTTCCCCTGCCCAGACAAATTTTGAAACTTTCAAGTTATTAGAATGTGTATACTACAGCATGTCAGTGAAAAGAAGAACTTATATATTACCTGATTTGGTGGCATTCTTCTCAGGCCCAGTTTATAGCTTATCAGTTTCTTTTCTCTGAAAGCTCTTCAATGACTGTTTACATTGGCAACGTGCACGATCGCGCCCTTTTTTACCACCACCCGGCTCTCTCGCCGGTCTAGAGCATAGAATTTGAATGCCTACACTTAGCGAATTTGTAAGACAATGTCAGTTTCAAATAAATTTGTTCTTTTAAGTAAAGCAAAATACACGTAATGGTTGGAGTTTTTAAAGAAGATGTCAAGTTTTTCAATTTACTACATTTTGGTTGAAAATTCAAAAATTTGATTTTTCGCGAGCCCGCCAGTCGATCCCTTCATACCGACAAAGTTCATGCACCTTTGGTTTAATATTACATTGCACTTGTTTAAAATGTTGAAAGTGAAGAAAAAATGACATAGTTCTTGCCCTTGAAATGGGTCCTTTTTGTTTTATTTTTAAGAGACCTTGTGATTTTAAATCCGTACATGGTCGTTTGTTCCAGTCACTATCAACTATCTTATCTCAAAGACATAAAAATCAAAGAAACCCTTGACTAAAAGCTGAGGGTTAGAGATGTTACTTGAGAGTAACGTACAAATCAGAGAAGGAGGTCAGATGAGGACGATAGAAGTTTGATAGGAAAGAAGGAGCAAACCGTACCAGAACACCCCTCAACCACCAACCTTCCACCTTTCCCTCAGCTCCAGCGTTTTCTCTAACACAGCATCCAACTCAATTATTATGTCTCATAATGTCCCTTTTCCTCCGTGGCATGTTTTCTGCTCCACTTCTTCTCCCCTGCCTTATTCTAAAACATTCGGGACATACCGGATGTTCTCTTTTTAAAAATGGGGCCCCATCTACAGGGCAATAGCTCGGTCATCTTTGCGTCAAATTTTAAAAAAATTGACACAAATGAAATTTGATCGGGAGGGCGTCATTATATTTCAAAATATGAAAAAAAACAACCAACGTGTAAAAAAAAAGTATCCTTTTTTTAAAAGTTTTACCCAACATTGAGAAAAACGCAAAACTTTGCAACTTTCTCAAAATCAGTCATGATGTGTATAATATGAACATTTGAGAATAGACTCATTTTAAAATGAAATTGCCACAGACAGTGTTTAAAATAAAAGCGTGACCCTTTCAAAAGTACAATTTTTTCATTTGCGGATTTTAAAAAGTCCACAACCCTCAAACAATCTTGTCTGGACAGAAATGGACAACACCTGGAGCATATAATACTTTGAATAGCCACACACACCTTCCTGAATTTGTTGGAGGATGTCAGTTTCAAATACGTACATTTGTTCTTAATGCACAACATTTTGTAATGGTTGGGATTTTAAAAGAAGTTGTAAAGTTTTGCAATTTACTCCATTTTGTTGAAAATTCGAAAACTTTTCGCGAACATATCAGTCAACTTTCTTTATGTCGACAAATTTCACGCACCGTTGGTTTAATATTAGAATATCTACATTGTATTTGTGAAGAAAAAATGACCTAGTTCTTGCCCTTGAAATGGGTCCTTTTTATTTCCTTTTTTAGAGAACTTTAAATTCTAAATCCGTACGTGATCGTTTGTTCCTGTCACTATCATATCTTTCAAAGACATCAGAAGCAAAAGAGACCAGTGACTAAGTGCCGAGAATTAGAGATGTTACATGTGATATTTGGCGAACATATCAATCAACTTTCTTTATATCGACAAATTCGACGCATCCTTGGTTTGATATTACATTGTATTTGTTTAAAATGTTGACAGTGAAGGAAAACTAAATGACCTAGTTCTCACCCTTTAAATGGGCCCTTTTTTTAAAGAGACCAGGTTATTCTAAATCCGCACATTTTCGTTTGTCCATGTCACTATCCTATCTCTAAGACATAAGGAGGAAAAGAGGTCCGTGACTAAAACTAAAATGCGCATGTATATTATTATATTCATCTGTATTATACAAATTTCTTGCAACGGTGTAACGGTGTCTGTAGTGTGAAAGAATTTTTATCGAGTCTCTCGGTCTTTCTGCTGGGATATTATATCCCTCTCATCCAGGTTTGGGTTGAAGACTGCTTGCAAAATTATCTACACTGTGTCAATGGGACGTTAAAAAACCATACCTACACATTGTGGTTTGTCACAATTATACAAAACACGGACTTTCACTTAAAATTAGTGCAGTGTTTTACTATGTTTTGGTGATTACAGTTATGTTAGTCTTCCATTGAGTGACAGTGTGAGTGACTGGCGGGTGCTCTGGTGCGGTTTGCTTTTTTCTTTTCTGTCTAACATTCCTTGTCCTTATCTCTCCTTTTCTGTGCTTGTTACCCGCTTGTAACAGAAAGTCATGTAATCTTGGGCACTTCTATGACCTACTTATGCCGCAAATGGCGTAAAACTTTTACTAAAACATAAAACAATGAGAGATTGTGAAAGTGCACATTTGTCGATGAGGGAAGTGCGTCATGTGGATTATCTGTGTCGTGCGTGCCACTTTCCAAAGTACTTGATCAATTGTAGGCCCGGGTTCGAAACCCCACGTGCAGCTCAGTAAACATGAGAAGGGTGAGAAAAGGGGGAGAGAGAGAGAGAGAGAGAGGGGGGGTGGGTGTAGGGAGGGTGGAGGGAAATGCATAGCGGGGTGGCTGGTCGTGGCGTGAAAAAACAAATGTGTCACGATGCGATGGAATCAGGCGCTCGTCACGATGAGCGTTATGGGGTTATTGGTATCATCTTAAAGCATGTTCATTTATCTTGCTTTTGAGGGGGGGGGAAATCTCATCTATTTGGAATAGAAGTCGAGATATTTGCGCTTGAAATAGGTGGAGGGGGGAGGTGGATCGCATGATGTCATGGGTAAATTAAGCGAGAAAATTGCCG